CTATGTACACCAAGTAACCAGACAAACAGAGAGCCAAATCGTGAGTGACTCCCATTCACAATTGCTACAAAGAGAATAAACTACCTAGGAATCCAACTTACAAGGGATTTGAAGGACCTCTTCAAGGAGAACTACACATCACTGCTCAAGGAAATATGAGAGGAACAAAACAAATGGAAGAACATTCCATGCTCATGGATAGGAGAGAATCATCAATATTGTGAAATGCCACACTGCCCAAGCAATTTATAGATTCAATGCCAACCCCATCAAGCTCCTAAAGACTTTTTCCACAGAATTGGAGAAAACAAAACTACTTTAAAGTTCGATATGGAACCAAAAAAGAGCCTGCATGCCAGACAATCCTAAGTGAAAAGAACAAAGCTGAAGGCATCCACGCTACCTGACATCAAACTATACTACAAGGCTACAGTAACCAAAAACGCATGGTCTCGGTGCAAAACAGAGATATAGACCAATGCGAACAGAACAGAGGCCTCAGAAATAAACCATACATCTACAACCATCTGCTCTTTAACAAACTGACAAAAACAAGCAATGAGAAAAGGATTCCCTATTTAATAAACGGTGCTGCGAAAACTGGCTAGCCATGTGTATGAAAGCTGAAATGGATCCCTTCCTTACACCTACACAAAAATTAATTCAGATGGATTAAAGACTTAAATGTTAGACCTAAAACATAAAAACCCTAGAAGAAAACCTAGGCAATACCATTCAGACATAGGCATGGGCAAGGACTCATACTAAACACGAAAGCAATGCGCAACAAAAGCCAAAATTGACAAATGGAGATATAATTACACTAAAGACTTCTGCACAGCAAAAAAAAAAAAAACTGCCATCAGAATGACACAGGTCAAGCCTACAGAATGAGAGAAAATTTTTGCAGTCTACCCATTGACAAAGGGCTATATCTAGATCTACAAATTCAAGAAAAGAAAGAAAAAAGAAAGAAAAACTCAAACAAATTTACAAGAAAAACAACGATCCATCAAAAGTGGGCAAGAACATGAACGACACTCTCAAAAGGAGAATTATGCAGCCAACAGCCAAACCACATGAAAAATACTCATCACCACTGGTGCATCAGAAAATGCAATCAAAAACCACAATGATTATAAATCATGCTACTATAAAGACACATGCACATATACGTTTATTGTGGCACTATTCACAATAGCAAAGACTTGGAACCAGCCCAAATGTCCATCAGTGATAGACTGGATTAAGAAAATGTGGCACATATACACCATGGAATACTATACAGTCATAAAAAAAGATGAATTCATGTCCTTTGCAGGGACATGGATGAAGCTGGAAACTATCATTCTCAGCAAACTATCACAAAGACAGAAAACCAAACACCGCATGTTCTCACTCATAGGTGGGAATTGAACAATGAAAACACTCGGACACAGGGTGGGGAACATCACACCCCAGGGCCTGTTGGGGGGTGGGAGGCTGGGGGAGGGATAGCATTAGGAGAAATACCTAATGTAAATGATGAGTTTTTGCAGCAAATGTATACCTATGTATCAGACCTGCACGTTGTACACATATACTCTAGAACTTAAAGTATAAGAAAAAATAAAAAATAAAAAAAGAAGAAAAAATTCTTGTAAAAAAAGACCAAAAAAATCATAAAATTTTCATGAGAAAAAAATCAAAAAGAGTTAATGAACAAGCCACAAATTGGAAGAAGATATTGGCAACCCACAAAATTCATGTAACGAACTCAAGATAAAAACAAATCAACCCAACAGAAAAATGGACAATGGATATGAACAGGCAGTTCATAGAAGAAAGTAGAATGGCCAATAAATACATGAAAATATGTTCAATATTACTACAAGTTAGGCAAATAAAAGTAAAACAAAATACTACTGCATAAAATAATATTGACATAAATTTAAAAATCTGGTAATTTTAAGGGTTGGCAGATTATGGAAAAATGGGGCTGTCATAAACTGTTGGCTAGAATGTACACTTTCAAAAGCTCTTTGGCAACATCTAGTCAAAGATATGCATATTTCATGAATGTGAAATTCTATGTATATATCCTAGCCTAGGCCAAGGTACATTAGGGAAGTACAAAAATTTTCCAGTAATAAATACATGGGCATGAATAACTTTAAGAGTATGAATTTTCATATTCTAAACTTCATATGTACTGCTTTCTGATGTGATCTGCCTGTGACTGTGTCTGTGTAATATGTATTCTTCTTTTAAAATCTCTCCTTTCACCATCACCTTTTTCCTTCCCTAAAGAAAGGTATATTTCTCACTCCTTCCGGATCTTGCTATAATGCTTTGTTCAGGAATGTAAATACCAACAGGGCATCAAACAGATATACAACTCAAGAGGGCAATGCCCTGAGAAATGAGAGAAGGCAAAGTAGAAAGAGCTTGCATAAGAAGTATTAAAGGGGAGATGATACTTATTTCATCTAGGGAACAAACTTAAATTAGCCGATGGTCACATGGATACATATTAAATCATTTATTTGAGTTTAAAAATAAAGTCAGAATTTTCTAAAAGCAAGTTTTATTCAGTAGTTTTATTTGGTTGACCAGCTTTGTTAACTGAGTTATAGAGCAGACACTTTCCACTATTAAGTAAGCTAAATCTACAGATACAAAGTTTTGATGAAAATATATAAACCTACAATATACAATATTCCTAAACTATTTAAACTTATAATAAGCTTCAGATATCAACTTAAAAATGAGTGACTGTTTTCATAATATTTCAAAAAAATTCAGAGATAATTTATATAATAAGTAAAACCCTAGAAAACAACTGCCCCACCCAGAAAAACCCTCACATAATACATATAAGATCTGGGTATTCAATGTAACCTTGTTTGTAGAAAAAACTTAAAATGTCCATCAATAGAGGAATATAAAAAATTGTAATACACTCATACAATGAAATATTATAAAATATTAAAATAGGTGAACTACATATACAAGGATCAATGTGATATAATCTAAAAAGAGACAAACATGGTTTGATCTCAAAAATATAATGCTGAGTGTAAAAACCAGATTATTTATACAGTGTTTAAAAACCACTAAAACAATACTAGATGTCATTTATGAATACATATATTTGTAGTAAAAATATATGAAATGAATAGGAAAGATATTCTGCTTACTTCTGAACAGGAAAGAAGGTAAGGAAGTAGGGGTAAGGAGAACTGACTTGAAGCTGTCTTACTTTACTCCCCATTTTAAGAACTTAAGCAAATGTTGCAAAATGTTGATGTCTATTAAATTTAGTTGACGTGTGTTATTATTTGTAATTATCTGTGGTTGAAATATTTCAGAAATAAAACAAACATTAAAAAAATCGATAAGTAATAGGTAGAAATCCTTTTTAAATGAAATTACTTACAGGCCAAGGTGGTGGGACAGAAGTTACCTCTGGAGTATGAAAATAAGCAACACCATTATGGTAAGTATAAGGATATCCAGTTGAAGTTGTTAGATACATTGTTCCAGCTGCTGGCATTATACTAGAACCTAAAGCAAAGATTAAATAATAATAATTAAAACGTTCAATTTAACTGTTAAAAATGTAGTTTCTAAACACTTCAGAAAAATATTTGTCTTAATATACCTATGTAGCTATGGTAAAATGGAATGTCACAGGTATTTAAAACAACTTCCTTATGTCAAAGTATCTTTGAAGCATGTATTTTTAAACTCAATACCTTAAAGCTTTTAGTTTAAGATGATTAAAAGAAAAGATAAACAATGCTAATAAGAAATACTAAATATGTATCAATTCAGATTCCAACACCAGTATGCTACACAGAGCTTAACAATTTAGATTATCATCAGCAAAGTAATTATTTGTACAAATATAAATTATGTATAATTACTTTAAGACTATATACACTATAGTAAAGTTCCTAAGGTCTTGGCTAGACCTTTTATTTCTGAAAGTTCAAAGATGATGGAGGCAGTAGAGTTGGAGAAGATTCTACTTTCCTGAAGACATTTTGGTTCCACCCTACTAATTCTTTGGATATCCTACCAGCAAACATTCATTCATGCTATGGCTCTCTTTTCTCTCTCTTTTCTATGATCTATTCTCTATCTAGTCTCCCTTTGCTACAACTGCTGCTGTTGCAAACAAGACCTCAAGTCTTCATGTGGCTAGTCTGGGGTCCCCATCTCGTTTCCCAGGCCAAGTTATATAAACCCCCACCACAAACCAAAAAACAATAAATAATATACATATTTTTTTTTTGTCATGGAGGAGACTTTAAAAGTTAAATTAGCCAAATTAGATTAGGGTCTTAACCAGCAAGGTTATATAAATTAGTGAAACTGACAATTCTTCTTCCACCTGTACCAGTGCTTCTCAAAGTTTCACATAAATTAGAATCACCTAAATTGTTTATTAAAATGCAAATTCCAGGGACTTATCTTCAGAGATTCTGAGTCAGTAAATCTGGGGCAGGGCCTAAGAGTTTGCATTTTGACAGCTTCCAATGAACTGATACTGTCTGCAAACCACACTTCAAATAGCACGGGCCTATCACTTTAAGTAATACTATTGCTCCTCAGCTTTTATATTTTCACTGCATTTGATCTAGTATTGTTATTATTTATTTTAATGGTTCTTAATTAGATCTTTTTGAGAATCTGATGAAAACCAGGGACCTTTTCCTCAGATATGTATACAGTCAAACACAATTTTACACGCAATTCTGGAGGTCCATGGATTCCCCCCAAAAGTTATTCAACTATTATTCAAAGATAATGATAATGGTTCATTATTCAATAATGGTTTATTATTCAAAGAACATGAACCATGCTTTACCTGCTAAATAAATAAATTTTCAGTGCATACTATCTCAAGGCATTGAACTGGGCCCTAGTGATACAGCAAAAAATAAAAAAATTAGACATGAGATGGTCTGTATCCTCAAAGAAGTTAGGTCTGGTAGGGAAGATAGTAATTAGTTGATTACACAATTAATTAATTAAATACAATTTTGATAAATACATGAGGCAGTATAGGGTATGATACTGAACATTTCAATTATTATATATATATAAAAAACATATAAAAATCTCTATATATACACATAAGTGGAACATTTGTGATGAAATGATGTTTCAGCTAAGCTCTAAAGAATGAATTGGATGGCAAAGAACATTCTAGGTAAGGAAAACAGTATATTAGATTCTGAGAACAGGAGTATAGTATGTTCTGGAACTGAAAGAAGACTAGATGGCTAAAGCATGGAAAGAAAAGGGAAGAATATCTCAAAATAAGCTGAGCATAAGACAATAAGAGGTGCACTTTTGAAAGATCACTCCAGCTTCCTTGTGAATGATGGATTGGAAGGGAGAAAGACTGGATTCACAGAGACCACTTAGGATGATTTTCCAGGAATTAAGGTAAACAAAGTGGTTAGCTGGGACTCAGGTGTTGGTAATGGAGATGGAAAGAAATGACAGACCTAAGAAAAAACTAAGATAAGAATCCCTTATTTGTAAATGTACTTTTAATACCTATTTTTCTTTGCAGAAAAGTCAAAAGAACTTTGGAATCAAACAGTCCTGCATTTGAAGGCTAATGCCACCACTCACCATTAGGCTATTTAACCCCATACTTCTCAAAGTTGGATAAGGGATGGATGGTACACCAGGAGATATGAAAAAGCAGAGGCTGAACATAGTAATCTTCCTACAGAATCAGTTTTATTCAATTGTTTTTGGGAAACATTTTTATATTCAAATAAACAATATGATATTATGGAACAGAATGCAAATTATACATGATGTTTTTACATAAATCGTGAGACTTAAGAAAATTTGCAATTCCAATATGCTGCAGTGGGTTAGGAACCACAACATGCCAAGATTAACTCTCCTCTACGAGTATTTCAGCAGAAACATTTTTAAAACAATGACTTCACCTTTTTGGGATTGAATTTTCTATTTACAAAAATAGATATAATAATACGTCATGGGGTTCTATGAAGATTAAATGAAAACCCATAACATTGACCCTTCCACTAAGTAGTTTTGAAAAAACAATTAGTATATTTGAAAGCATTCAGCATAGTGCTGATTTATTTTCTATTTCAGCAACTGGTAGATCATACTATGAACGTTACTATTTAGTACATATTACTGGTGATAATGGGCTAAAGGACTGTTACTACATGTTCTAGCTTAATCTTTGCAAGTAACAACAATAGTCTGAAAATATTCAGCATTCTGCCATATTTAGTGCATTCCATTTTGTATTAACCTACTGAGGATATTTTGTCTCCTAAATTAACAAATACTAAGCCAAAATTAAACTTAATATACGTCAATCTCTTTTTTGTTGTAGTTGTGGCAACTGTATTAACTGAATATTTATTATTTCTAAGTCAAAAGCATAACAGTCCAAATGAATACAATCTATTAATTTGTTAACAGATTATACATAATAATTACCAAATGTTTTAAACATTCTCGTAGACACTAGGATGTGGCCAAGGGAAAATAAGTTAGTTATTAATTTTACATCACATTTCTCCTTCTAGCCAAAGACTGTTTGGAATTTTAATAAATATTAAAGGTAAAAAGTTAACTATAAAGATGCCTAACTTAATAAATAGAGTGAGGAAAGAATAATAGAATTGAAAGCATTAGAGACATTTGGGGAAAGTAGATACATAACTTAGCTAATTCCTAAAGCTTTAGGGATTGTCCCCCTGAAAATTATGACACACCTGGCTGGGTTACAGTACATAGCATGCAGTGAGTTTCTGATATTAGTTCTATGTTTTCACTTTCAATATTTTTACTCTGATTAATTTTAAATTACTTTCTAATTAAATTTTTTCTCATTAGTAAGTCTAAATTATTAAATTACTAATTACTTTTGCTATTTTAAATGATATTTTCATCATGAAAGATTGTTCCTTTAATGATATAACTACACAGAATATACTTAAGCATCTTTATGTATATAAAGTTTTTTCTCAACCAAAAAAAATTGAGATACATTATTTTGTGGCAAAAAATACTCAGTTTTTCCACCAACTTTGCTAAAATAACTATTAAATGAAAGAAATATGATATTTTAATAAAGTTCTATGAAAAGTCTCATATTTCAAAAAAGAACCATGCAAAAATGTTTTAAAATACATTAGTTTTCAATACATACGAGGGATCCCTACTTGTTGTTTTCTTATTGCTGGACCAATGTTCAGCTTCTTATCCTTGTAATTAAGTTTTTCAGCCTAAAATAAAGAAAAAGGAAATTATTTTATTATTTTAGCACTATTATTAAAAAATAAATAAGGAAAAACCAGTTAGAAAGAATTTCAAAAATTCAGACTATAACATTCTTTGAAATCAGCAAGGAATAGTGGGAAAGAGCAGTCTTCAGACGGAAATAGATCTGGGTCTGACCGCAATTCCCTATTTGTAATACAGTCAATCCTCATTACTCATGGATTCTGTATTCGTGAATTTACCTATTTGCTAAAATTTATTTGTAATCCTAAAATTAATATTTGTGGCAATTTTGAGGTTATTAGTGGACATGTGCAGAGTGGCGGAAAATTTGAGTAGCCTGATGCACATGCTCCCAGCTGAGGTCAAATAAGGTGATATTCTTTCTTCTTGTTCCAGTGCTCATATTCTAAGAGAGAGCTTTCTATTTAGTGCCACGCTTTCTCCATTTTTGTGCCTTTTTGTTGGTGATTTTGCTATTTAAAATGGCCCCCATGTGCATTGCTGAAGTGCTGGCTAGCACAAGAAGACTGTCATAGGCCTTATGGAGAAGATATATATTAGATGTACTTAATTCAAGCATGAATTATAGTGCTGTTGGCCATGGTTTCAATGTTAATGAACCAGTAATCTGTTATATATGATGCCTTTAAATGGAAAAACACATAAAACAAGGTTATATATTGATAGGTTGATGGCAATATTGTGACCAGAGGTTCTTGGGAACCTTACCTTGTATTTCCCCTAGAAAGAGTAGTTCAGCATTTGCTAATTCAGTGTTCCTAGCAATGACAGAGAACATAACTGCCACAAATAACAAGAATTGACTGTATATGATTTTAATAAAATATAATTCAAATTCTACTTTTTTTCTAAAAAAGTTAAATGTTATATTTGCCTTAACAAAGTTATCACACTGAATTGCTGGCTATAGGCTTTTTCTGTGAATATTCTTAGTATATATAACGTTTTTCACAGGAGGGAAATCATCTCAGATAACCTCACTGTTGGAATCCACATTTGTAGTGTTTTTTAAACATTCAAAATGCTATTAACATTTTGCAAAAGACATATCCCCAAGTTCTTAGTTGAAGTAAATAAAGCGAAACATTATATTACAGTTTCACAACCATACTCGTAATGATTTTGGAATTTGCTCTTCTGCAGATTAAGTTTCCTACAGACCAATGCCAATCTTAAGATGCGAACCTTTTTAAAAAAGCAATTGATTACTGTATTCGAACCCTGAAAAGATTAGTTTCAAATACAAAAGTTCCAGAAATGAAGTTAAATACACCAAAAGATCATACCTCTTGTAAAATTTTTTGTGCATCTTCTTGTGTTTCAAAAGTGACGAAACCATACCTAAATAAATGCATTAATTATTACTAATTAATCATTTTCTTAGAATGTTATATTAATTATATTAAAATGTTTTAAAATTTTGCTTTTAAATAATGGGCCACTGTAGAAGTAGGCATCTTTCTATGCTGCACTAGCATGGGAATCTTAGAAGAATCACTCACAGTTTAACACTGTCACCTCCCTTAGTCAGGGAACTAAAAGAAAAAAAAAACCCTGAGATCCTGAAACAGCTTCAGCCCTCAGCTATATGCAAGGAAGAAAAGCACAAGAGACTCATGCTGTGGCTTAAAAATTGGGATGCAATAAATTTCAATTCAGAGCGATAATCTCCTATTAAACTAATAGAAGCTTGGCTAACAGAAATCAAAGTTGAAAAATAACTAAAAAATTAAACATTTCAACACAATAAAATTTCTTACATTGGTGAATGACTATGTAAATGTATTATTTAGTTATTATTATTAGCACATATAACTGATAATGTAATTATTAGTATATTTCCCAAGCAATATCAATTAAAAATATGTACAATGCAGATTTCATATGTTTTTCATACATAATTAACTTCAAACACAATTCATATAATGTTCAAGATACAAATACACATAAATAATGTGCTCCATGTCCAAAAAGCCAAAATAGGTAGAGAAAAAAGTAACAAAAGAAAAAAAAGTGTCTCTCTCAAAACATAATTGCTATTTAGATAACTTAAGGAAACTCTTCTGAGTAATGCTAAATATCTTCACTATTTTCTTCAATTCATAATTACTGGATCATATACCAAGTTTCTGCTTTTAAACAAAGGAATTTCTCTTTATCTATTTGCCCAAATATTAAAAGAGTTAAGGAATTATTTTTACTTTTTTTTTTTTTTTTTTAGAACACACACACCACCCAGTGGAAAAGGCATAAAATACAGTTTACATTTCCATGTATGTTTTTCAATGATTAAAAAATGGATATTACCAAAACATTGCAAATTCTGTTAGTAAAACAAAAGAGGTAAATCTCACTTCATCCTAATATTGTTTGGCATTCTGAGGAAGTATCTCATTTATTTAAAAATAACCTTTCTGTAGAATCCCATCTCTTCCAGAGTATCCATCTGTCTAATGTTGTTTCTCACTAATACCACCGCAATGGGTCCCTTTTCTTAAGCCTATAAATATGTGTCTTGCCTCTCTTTCAAGAAAATAAATACAATACTTTACTGCCTTATCTATTTTCTTTTAACTTTGCAGTCCAACTCCTTAAGTGAGTGTACTATGCAAGTTACCTTTTTTTTTTTTTCTGAAATTCGGCTTTGTACACATAACAATCCACTGAAACAGCTCTATACATTTAAAGACACAGTCTATTGCTTTCTTCTCATTTTCATTATCATTGATAGGGCAATTCAAAATCATTCTCACTAGAATTATATTTCTCATATTGGTCCCCCAATTAGGTCTCTGAGGCACAACCTACAGACATTTCTTGGTGTCAGCTGTTTTCAAATAAAGCTCTCTATAGCCTAAAGCAGGGATACAATTCCAAAAGAATCTGATTCGTTTAGCTTCTCATTCCTCAGCTAATGTACATCTGCTACTCACATTAAGTGCTTGCTGCCTAACACTGAATGGTCCCTCCACCCATGCAGGAATAACTTCCCAACAAATTAAGAAATACTACAGTGTCTCCTCCCTCCAAAATACACACACACACACACACAAACAAAATAGGAAATCAAAAGGTAGGAGGAAAGAAGAGGGCATGATGGTCTCCGCTGGAAAATGGAACCAAAGTTAACTGGCATACAAAAACCTAGTAATCCAATGAAAATAGAGTTGTTAATTCTATAGACAATCTATAATGATACTAACCCTTTGGATACTCCAGCTCTGTCATTTACAATCTTCACTTCTTTCACAGACCCATACTGGGAAAAAAATTTTCTTAAATCACTTTCATTTGTCTAATGGCATAAAAAGAAAACATTAAAAAACATTTTTTAGTTGAAAAAAGATGAATAATTCTCATAAAAAGTTATAGATAAGATGCATGAAAAATGCCTCTCATGATCAAAACAGTGCATAAACCACCGGGTGATTAAAATCAAAATAAATACCTTGCTTTATACAATAGCTATGTTGTTAAATTACTATATGTCAATAAAAATGTAAACTGAATTATTTTAAAACTACAAAGCTCATTATTTAAAGAAGTCTTTAAATGATTCTTGTTCGCTAGCTGGCCAGTTTTTTAAAAACCAATTTGGATTAGGAATGCTATTTCCATAGTAAGGGTATATTACTATTGGCTCTTGTGGCTCAGAGACACTCACGGCAGTGGAACTAGGTTATGTTGGCCTACACCAGTCATTCTATTTTAATCAGTAGTCTCAGGAACTCCTTTCTTAAGTCAGTTTTAGGAAAGGAATGTATTTCCAAAAGCGCTTCAACTCAACTGTGAGAACAATGGAGTGACTATAAGATTTAAAGTTATTAGATTCCTTATCTGTACTCAATATACATTTCAGCTAAATTCAGACATTGTTTTGAGAGTAAAATAAAAATTGGAATCATAATTACATTTAAAACATACAAAGTATCTACAAAGATGGTTTTGGCATATCTGTTTTTCTAATCAAAATAGTCTGATAACAGACTCATATCACCTTTTCTCAGAATACTGACACTAAATTCATTGCAATTTCATTTTCAGGTTTAGCTGTAATTGTTTGTCTACAAGAGTAACTTTTCTCTAGAAAAAAATTTCTTTATACACACCAGAAAAAGACATGCCTTAGTGCAGAGCTATGCCTTTTGAGTTCAACTGTCACCTCACTACTTACATACACTATTGGTTTTTAGCTGGTAACATAAAGCCTGCTAAGCTGGATAATGACAAATACTGATTCAATCTAAGAAAAACTGAATGCCTTTTATTTCAGTTAACAGAAAATGAAATCAATGCCAGAATAAGAATTGTTACTAGATATTTGAATACAAATTAATTCCAACTATTCTCTGGTAGAATAATCACAGCTGAATTTTGTAGCTCCACTTCTTCAGTGACAAAGGGACAGTCAAGAAAAGTAAGCATTAAGAGAGATAATCTGTTCGCTTCTAAAAATGAAAGGTTAAAAAGTCTGTGACTACTTGCTATTACAGTAAATTCTTTCCTTGCTGGACTTTATCTGTGGTTTTGAAAAAGGTATAAACATACAGGAGGGAGCCCTAGCAGTTACCGTAAAGCTATGGCTGCCTTATAACAACCGTTTCCAAAGTTCATGCTGCAGCTGATGGGCTTCAGTAACCTAAAATAACTTGGCCATACAAATATTTATATTTATTGATAACTTATTTTTAAAAACATGCTAAGCTATTGTAATATAAATGAATTCCCAAATTGAACATTTTTGCCAGCCATCAGTATTTTCCACAGATACAGAAAACCTTTTTAAAAATAAATATTTTATAAGAAATAATTTTTCTTACTTTATTTTTAGTGAAACAATCATATACTTGTTTAAGACTCATTGTTTTGGCAAATACACTAAGTGTAACATTTCTCTTGTGCAGGAAAAAAGAAATTCCACCCAAATTGTAACAGATTGATTATATGGAAATAGTGAGTTATAAATGTCAAATATCACACCTAATGGCATAAGGAAAGTTTTTTTTTGTCCAAAATAACTTTCCCTATAATTTCTAATATGTAAAATAGAGTCTTGGAAATCCTTCCATATATCCATTTGAAAGTAAGAGTATTCCACTTACAGTATCTATGCATGCCTTTCTTGTAGGTGTTTACTCATGCGGGGTGGGGGGCACTGCACATCATCTCATGAACTATGCTTCCTTGAAAGAGTGGAATAGCTGATTACATGATGTAAATATATTACTTTTTAAAAAACTTTTATTTTAGGTTCGGGGTACACGTGCAAATTTGTTATAAAGATAAATCGTCATGGGGGTTTGTTGTACAGATTATTTCGGCACCCAGGTACTAAGTCTAGTACTGAATAGTTATTTTTTTCTGCTTAAATATATTATTTTTAAGATGCTTTATTTTGACAAGGACACAGGAGTTTTCTGGTAATCAAATCCTAAACTCTAACATAGAAAGTGCTTTGCAAAGAATAGACGCCTAGGAGGTTGCTCAGGAATCTGAGATAAGAGTTGGGATAAAGAAATAGTATTTCATAAAACTAAGTTTTTAAAGAATTGAGTCTCTTTTGAAAATTATAATCATTCATTATTTTGGCTATTGGAGTATAGGCAAGAAAGTATAATTAGTTCTGGTATGGAAGAGTGTGGAGCTATGAGACAGAAAACGAGGCTTCTAGTCTCACTCTGTCACTATGTGGCTGGCTAGGAGCCTACAGCAAGTCAATGAGGCTCAATTTCCTTGTATTTGACATTGAACAAACGGTTTTTATACTTTATGTAACCTACATGTTGGTTCGAAAGATTCTTTATAAGAAGGTAATTCGAAATCTATTAATCATTATGCAAATATGTTATGATTTTATAGCTGCACAAATAAACAATTTCTGAGAAATAAAGACTTCTAATGAAAAAATACACTTTACTGCATGCATAAATAGGTACCTTAAAGTCAATTCCTCCTACAAAGATGCGATTAGGGATCACTGTTCCATATCTTGGGGCACTTGTTGGGTTATTCAAAGGCACAGGCGACACAGCATTAGGGGATGGAGATAATGAATCTGTTTGCATCTGGTTTGATGTTTGCTGTAAAATAAAATTCTTTTACACTTTTTGCACTGGGTATAATGCAGTCTGCTTTTGATGCAGACTGAAAATGTGTATCTTTAAAAAAGATGAGTCATTTAGGTAAAATATAGTATTCTAGGCTTTACTTTTAATATTATAAAAATTATAATTAGAGCTAAGAGCTTTTTAGAGCAACAGAACTAGGAAACACAGAATCTACTCCATTATAGAGATTTTAAATATTAAGTACATCACTTAAAATGCTTATATTATTATCAAACCAATTACTTAATTGTTAAGGGGAATATTAAACTCATGAAGATGTTTGAGAAAGAGAAAAACAGTCCCAGCCTGACACAATCAGCTAGGCCCTGGTGTTGTTAGGAGTTGGCCTGGCACTCACGGCTAGGCTGTGGTGTTCTCTCATTAACAGAATACCAACATCAGACAAAGTCACCCTGTGACTCTGATGGATTAAGATTAAAAACAAGACCACTCCACAATCATGTTTGAAGGCTGACTAAAAAAAACGCATTGCCCAAATCCAATAATAACCAAACATCCCTCCATTCTGGCTGATATGAGTGACTGCCCCTTCTTTATTAGTTATAGTTTTGGCCTCGATCCATTTTTCTTTCCTTTTAGATAAAAGTTAACACATCCAATCATAGAATTACTACCATTTCCTGATGATATACATTCCAGAGTAAAGCCCTGCTTCCTCAAACCCTCTCTAAAAATTGCTCAACACAAGCCTATATCCTATGAGTTCTAACACCTTCTGATTGAGAGGCCCCATGGTTTCTGTTTTCCTTTGTTTGAACGATTAACAGACCCAACTTCACTAAATGACGCTTGTGTTCCTGGTGGTCTTTAACTAACGGTCATTGATAAGTTAATAAACTGTAACATTCACATTCACCATTTTCAGCCTGAAGGTCAAAATTTTAAATGCACTTGTCATTTTGAAGATTGGACTGATTTTGTTAAAAATTATATACTTATAGTTCATAAATGTTTATTCCAAAGAATTAGCTCAGTACATATCCATATGTTCACAACGATAAGTTAGAGGATCTAATTTAAATTTTAATAAACATATATAAATGTATAAGCCTTTGCAGAATGGTAAAATAATAGACTTTTAAGGTATAACTGAAAGAAAACCAGGACTTGAGAATCATGTAGAAGAGAAACCAATTCAAGAATTGGTGAATTATTTTCCATCTGGAAACACTAAACACACTTCTGAGACAGTCTAATATCCTAAATGTGTGCTTCAAAAAACTTGAAGTAAGCTGGGTGTTGTGGCTTGTGCCTGTAATCCCAGTTGCTTGGGAGGCTGAGGCAGGAGGATTGCTTGAGGTCAGGAGTTCAACCCCAGCCTGGGCAACAAAGCGAGACCCCGTCTCAAAAAGAAAGAAAAAGAAAATAACAAATCTTGAAGTTCATAATTCAAATTCTCTGAGAAACAAACACATGAAAATGAATTTCCAGCTCAGGTAATAGAGTTGTTCTTTTTCAAATTTGTGTTCTTTCTTCTCTGGTCAATACAATCACAATCCCTCAATTAATCTTTGCAAGATGTACAGAGAAATGACTAGGGCAGGAGTGGCAATTGGGCTATAGGCTGGACCTTATGGGCTCTCTTCTCCAACCAGCCTTAAGGAAGTACATACTCCTAATAAGGGAATACGTAAATACTTCTTTTAAAACACGGAAAAGCCACCACATTTAATAATTACTATGTTGTAGTTTCCAATGAAATAAACTGGGAATCTAATCTTAACAACTTTCTCTCTGGGCACTTGGAGGTTATTTGTGACATCAGTCACTTTGCTCAGTAGGATATAATGCTCAGAATGGGTAATTCTGGAATGCTTAGTATTTTTCAACTGTGGATTTTGTATTGCTAGAAATAATATAACAGCTCTACTAGATGTAATCTTGTCTTTCTGCCCATTTGTTTACAGTGTCAAAGTTACCTATTTGCTAAATTAAAAAAATCATTCTTCATGATATTCTCTTATTGAAAATAAGATGTACTAATTTGTTTGCAAGTTTAAGTAAAAGACAAACCCCATTATATTTCATCGAGGGAAGGATGAAATGAACGGAAGTAAACAGTGCTTTATTTCCAATCTCGAGAAACTAAAGGATACTCCCTGAGAAAAGAAAAACCTTTCACACTCAATTCACTTCACTCTCCTCCAGTCTCTAAGGCTCCTGCTCTAATGTGGGCTCGCTTTGCTTAATTTTTCTCCCTCATCATTTTCTAACATACGTTATAATTTACTTATTATGTCCATTATCCGTCTCCACTATTATGTAATGCACTAGGGCAGGAGTTTTGCTTTTTTCACGGCAGCATCTAAAGTACTGACAGTACACAGCAGGTGCTCAATGAATATCTGTTGAATGACTAAGAGTGAATCATTTCTTCAGGAGAGACCTGCTCACTATATGCCAAATAGGCTGAAGGCAAAAGAATACAGTATAACAGCAGTCTACTATATATATACACATATGTATATGTGTGTGTATATATATATATTTGAGACGGAGTCTCGCTCTGTCACCAGGCTGGAGTGCAGTGGCGTGATTTCAGCTCACTGCAACCTCTGCCTCCCCGGTTCAAGAGATTCTCCTGCCTCAGCCTCCCGAGTAGCTGAGACTACAGGCGTGCACTAATTTTTTTGTATTTTTAGTAGACACAGGGTTTCACCATGTTGGACAGGATGGTCTCGATCTCCTGACCTCGTGATCCGCTCACCTCAGCCTCCCAACGTGTTGGGATTACAGGCGTGAGCCACCGCACCAGGCCTACAAAATATTTTAATGTTAGCAATAGCAAGGCTCAGGTAGAGGCAACATCTAAGTTCATTATTAACAATTAGTGATGCATTGAGTTAAACAACAAAGAAAGCCTCAAATTCTAACTAGCAATAAATTCCGCACGTGTTACGGAAGCACCTAGAAGGGGACTGTTGTTGGGTCTGAAGTCTCCTCCGCTTGCTAAAACTTCCAGCACTAGAGAGTTTATTAAACTTCTCCTCCAAAGCAATGTGCCCTCACGGGCTCCTCCCCTTAAGTCAACCTCGAGATCTAGCATCTATTTTGCAAAGGAAGACAGCAGGAACGGGCGGGCTAACCGTCGCAGTCACTGCCTCGGCGCTCCTCCCCCTCCAAGGCCAGCAAGTTGCGGCACTGGGGGAAATGGCCGCGGCGAAAACTTCCTCGAGTTCTCTCGGGTCATCGTGAACTTGGGCACCAAAACGAGGATCCACCCCCTCCCCACCAAAGTGCGGGAGGGAAAAGAAGGCTAGCCAGCGAGAAATTTTGCCCCGCAAATCCGCCAGCAGCAGTGGCGGGAACCCTCAACGGCACCGACCCCGCCGCTGGCCTCGTGCGCAGCTGGTCCCCACCCTCGCGCGGCGCTCCCTGATTGGCTGCTGGCGGCGGGACGGGGCGGGGCGGGACGGCACGTTGCCGCTGCGCCTCGGGCCTGTGTGGGCCGTCTTCCTTCACTTCCCCAAGTCCGCCCTGACTGGCTCGGGTGCACAGCCAGTGCTACAGTGTCTGGATCCCACCTGGGCCACAGGCGGGCCCCCGCGAGGTCTCTCAGACCTTCCGGTCCTCGCTGACCAGTCGGGGAGCGGAGGCGTCGTCCGCCCTGACAACTCCTCTCTCTGGGCCGCTGGGTCGAAGTTCGACCGGAGGGAGCGTCAAAGACGCTGCCTAGCCCAATTTCGGCGGGAAAGCAGTTTATCTGCTCGGACTCCGCTGGGTGCCCGGCAGCCCGCCGCCTCCCGAAACATCTGCGCCTGAGGTCCCCTGGCCCGTCTACACCCAGTCCAGGCCCCGTGGCGGCGCCTTCCTGACCCCCATGACACAGCCAGACGAGGTCTGCGGGCGGGCGGCTCCTGGCAGCGGTCGATGGGGTACCTGGCCACGTTTCTTCCTAACCAGATAGCGAGCGTTTGGGGTCTTCACCTTGCCCCTCCAGGCCCTCAGGGACCGGCTCCACGCTGCTCCTTCTCCCCGCTACCCCGCGCCCTGGGGCCCTGATCGCCGTACTCACCTGCCCGGACTCGGTTTCCATCTTCCTCTCTGCTCTTCAGAGACGCGGGTAGGGAAGAGAAGCCTAAAGTTTGAAACCACCTTCACGCCAAGGCAGCAGCGCTGCTTGTCCTGCCTGGGACTCTCGCCCCCTGGCGGCGAGGGCGGCGGTGGCAGCTGCAGGGGAGCAGGCTCAGACCCGGGCCCTGAACCTGCCACCTGGCGGGTGGGGAGAAGCAGACGGCGTCGCCTCGGGTGGCAGGCGGCGGTGCGGGCGGGCGCCGCAAGCCGGAGAGGGGCGCGGGCGGGCGAGTTTCGGCTGCGGCTCTGGGACTCCGAGCCGGGGCGTCTCAGGGGCAGAGCACACGGCACAGCGGGGCGGGCGTGGGGCGTGCGGAGCGAGGGCTCTGTTCTGGGACCCCTCTTGCCTGCTCTCAGACGGCTGGGGAGGAGAGAGCGAGCGGTCGGGCAAAGCTCCATGCACGGCACGCCTTCCCGTCTCCTCCACTTGAGAAGAGTCGGCCTCTGGGACTGGTGGGTTTCGAGAGATTGAGGTGACCTTAAGCCTTTACTGGGCTGGAAGAAGCCGATTGACAGGCGACTTCCGAAGACTGGTGTAATGCGAAGAAGGTTCTAGAGTCAAACTCTGACTCTCGGGGCCTGACGCGCCAAACTCGGGGGCTCCTGAGAAGCCGCGGACGCCTCTCTGCACCTGTTGCCGCCGTCACTCATCCCGCCAGGCGGGCGGGGCCGCGCGGGTGGCTTCGTCAGGACCTGCCGCTCAGCCTAGTCGGGCTCCGGTGCCCGCCCCGGACCGTGCCCCAAGCGGGTCCCGGCCCCGCTGAGCACCTCCAGCAGTGGCACAGCCTCTGGAATGGTCCCGGACGAAGCCACCCGCACGGTAGGGGGCGACTTAGCGGCTCCAGCCTCCAACAGCCTTGTGATCGCCTTTGGAAGAAGATTGCATTAAAAAAAAATTAATGAATTAATTAACTAATTATTTTTATTTTTGTTTTTGAGACGGAGTCTCGCACTGTCGCCCAGGCTGGAGTGCAGTGGCGCGATCTCGGCTCACTGCAGCCTCCACCTCCCAGATTCAAGCGGTTCTCCTTGTCTCAGCCTCCCGAGTAGCTGGGATTACAGGTGCCTGCTACCACACCCGACTAATTTTTGTATTTTTAGTAGAGAAGGGGTTTCACCAGGCTTGAAATCCTGACTTCAAGTGATCTGCCTGTCTTGGCCTCTCAAAGTGTTGGGATTACAGGCGTGAGCCACCCTGCCCGTCCAGTTAACTATTTAGACACGAAGGCTCACTCTGTCGCCCAGGCTGGAGTGCAGTGGCGCGATCTCACGCTCACTGCATTCTCGACCTACTGGGCTCAAGCGATCCTCCCACCTCAGCCTTCTGAGTAGCTGGGACCACAGGCAGGCCCACGCCACCATGCCTAGCTGAAAGAAGACTGCTTTGGAAAGAATACATATTTCTAGTAGGTAGCTAAAATGATTACAACTGGATAAACTTATAGTAATGATGATGATTATTATAGCTGCCATTTATCAAGTACTTTGTTTCAGGCACAATGCTTTATGATCAGTATCATTTAATCTTTTCATTCTCACAGCAACCTTTCAGATAGATGCTCCAATTATCGTCATAGCACGTGATGAAGCAGAGATTTGGAGGATAAGTAATCTGGTCAAGATCTAAAGCTGTAGGAGGTTTAACCCTGGGTCTACCCCCAACCCACAGTTCTTGATCTTAACCATTTTGCCATATATTTTTAAAGAATCAGCAGTAACAACTGTTAAAAGTTACACCAGTAATAACTACTGTACACACTACTATAAAAGTTTGACTTTGGGTTACTTTGCCTTCAAGATATAGAATTAAAAAAAGAGTAACTATATTCATTTTTGATTTGTTCAAAGATTAGCTCTTCGTATTATTTACCCAAACTAAAATGGGAAACAATTTTTGTTTATCTTACCTGAAGAATCCCTAAAGTCATTATACATTTCTGCACGCAATTTAAGCTCATTTTGTCAGGTTTAAGTCTCTGTGGAAATAGAGAATACAAACCTATTTAGATGAAAACTCATATTCTAAAGTATAATAATTTTACTGTTCAATACCAGTAGAACTAATCTTCTGTGGGCATTTTTTTTTTTCCTAGGACTGTTGATGGATTTGGGTAGATGTTACTATCCTGTCTTGCCCAAATCTTTTTTGACTGAAAACACTTATTTTCAAGAATTGCATTCTCTTAAAAAAAATGTATTCAGCGCAGTAGGTGTTTAATCTGAAAAAAATTTACATAATTTAGGGAACACTAACTGTATTTCAAGGCTCGTGTTGGGTACTAGAGGTACTTTATTTTCAGTATGACAATTCTCTGTTCTGCCTCTTACTATTAATTCTTACACCAAAAGGAATGTTCAACTTTAAAACTTGGATAAACCCCTTAAAATTATGCAATGCACCCCAATTTAGTAGACACTTATAGAGTTCCTATTCTATGCAGTACGTAATGGAATATAATATAGGAGATATGAAGATGAAGAACGGGGTGTCCAATCTTTTGGCTTCCCTGGGCCACACTGGAAGAAGAAAAATTGTCTTGGGCCACACATAAAATATACAAACACTAATGATAGCTTATGAGCTAAAAAAGTAAATCACAAAGAAACTCATAATGTTTTAAGACAGTTTACGAATTTGTGTTGGGCCGCATTCAGATGTGGTCCACGGGCCACTAGTTGGACAAGCTTGATAAACAAGATCACACCTCTGTTCTCAAAGTATTTTAAATCTAGAAGGATAGAAAAAACTAATTACTCAAAACAGTGTAACATAAATATGCTTATAGGAACATAAAATACAGGCATAACAGGATAAGTGATATATGAACAATGATCAACCGTCTGTGGCAGCGCAGAGGATAGCATCACAGAGCACAGCATCCAGGGCTGCGTAAGGGCGTCCTTAAGGCTAGAATGCTGGTCTGGGCAGAAAACCTGAGGGAAAGATGCTGAGCCTGTATCATGTACGCAATGCTGGGCTAGCCACATTCTTTTTAAGTCTTAGTTCTCTCTTTTTCTTAGTCTCTCTTTTTCTTTCTCTCATTGGAAACCTGAGTCTTAGAGAGGTAAAAGTGACTCTCGTGGTCACATTGCTAGTAAGTGGTGGATGCCATTTTTAAAACTTAGTTCCTTTTTTTAAAAAATTATACTTTAAGTTCTAGGGTACATATGCACACCATGCAGGTTTGTTACATATGTATACATGTACCATGTTGGTTTGCTGCACCCATTAACTCATCATTTTCATTAGGTATTTCTCCTAATGCTATCCCTCCCCCTGTCTCCCACTCCATGACAGGCCGTGGTGTGTGATATTCCCCACCCTGTGTCCAAGTGTTCTCACTGTTCAGTTCCCACTTATGAGTGTGAACATGTGGTGTTTGGTTTTCTGTCCTTGTGATAGTTTGCTCAGAATGATGGTTTCCAGCTTCATCCATGTCCCTGCAAAGGACATGAACTCATCCTCTTTTATGGCTGCATAGTATTCCATGGTGTATATGTGTCACATTTTCTTAATCCAGTCTATCATTGATGGACATTTGGGTTGGTTCCCAGTCTTTGCTATTGTGAATAGTGCCACAATAAACATACATGTGCATGTATCTTTATAGTAGCATGATTTATGTTCAGGCACAGTGCACTTTGTCATGTTACTTATACATGGCAATAAAGAGAATTTTATTCTGGAGACCTTTGTAAATAGGGGCCATTGAAGATGATTGAACCAAGAAGTTGTATATTCAGAGCCAAATTTTAGGAAGATATTTGCATATCAAAGAAGAGTTTTTGAGGGGCACAGACTGGAAACAGAGAATTGAATTTGGAGGAGAAAACATTTCAAGTGAAAATAATGAGGACTCGAACAAAGGTGACAGGAGTGAGAATCAAATACTGGGAAAAGGTTAAAGAGATACCAGTGAGGAATTGAGACTATTGGGCATGGGTGATGATGGAGAGGGATTGGTGAGGCTCATTCAGAAATCTGGTTTCACATATGGGAGATACTGTTTACCAAGATAAACATAAAAGTATAGCACATTACAAATTGCAAACCTAAACATCCCATTTTCTTAAGTTTTCTTCCAGCTTCCCAATGTTTCTCATCTTTTTTCTTCACACGATCTGTTCAGAACATAGTCTTTGTTTCAGGGATTTACCCAAACCTACCCTTCTTGCTTGCCTTCCCTAGTTGGCAGTTCTTCCCTTCTTGCCTCTTGAGTTTTCTAACTTCAGATTCTAGCTCCTAATATCTACTTCTAGCTCTCGTTTTCTTGATAACCCTTTAGATGCATTCTGTAGTTTATAGATGTGGATAACTATCGTGTGCCTCCTGTGGGCAGGCTTTATGCTACGGCATGAGATACAGCAATAAATAAGGCCTAGTTCTTGCTCTGGTAGCAAGACCCTTTGGCAGCCTGTGGTCTAGTGCAAGAAGCAGCTAAGTAAGTAGAAAGTTTATACATTCATTGTGCTAAGCATGGCAGTAGAAGCTAAGTTGCCAGGTACAGAGATAGCCTAGACCAGGGAGTGATTTAACTTGGTAGATAAAACAACATGAAAAGACATGTTTAGAAGATGCCTCTGTTTCCATTTTCTTTTTTTCTTTCTTTCTTTCTTTCTTTCTTTTTTTTACCTACATGGATTATTTAATCTGGTCTCAGAGTTTACAAAAGGAATAAAATGGTGTAGAAATGGATGTATTCCTCTCCTTTCTAATTCTGACCATACTCCTATCCCAATCTACTAATTGGGCATAGGATTACAGTGAGTTTTGCAATTCCATAAGATATAATAAGATGAGTGTGCTTATTTTCATGCCAAGCGGTGGCCTTAATTCAATCAACATCACTTTGAGGAGGTCATATTCTTGCTCACCCCAATTGGAGATAGAATATAGACTGAGGCATTCAATATGTTTGGTGGACTGAGAGGGTTATTTACAATTATTTTGGTGCTGTAAATAGTGCTTTGCATGGTCACTGAACTACTAGTAATACCCTCACTCCCACCACCAGCACCAACATTGTCACCACCACCATAATAAGATCAGTTACTGAGTTAATAAGTAGGAGAGCCATGCTTTGAATCCAAGGTGGTCTGACTCCAAAGTGCATGCCCTTTCTGTTGTGCTCTTGCTACAAAGTGTAATCTTCATAGGCAAATCCTCCTACAGGGAGTAGGACAGTTACATCCTGTTTGGTGGCACCACTGTCAGGTACTCTTAATGAGACAATTCCAAGGCTTTTGTGGTCTCAGTTCAAGCCTAAGCAGCAGAACTCCTGAGTTCAGTCTCTGCTAACCTTTCCCTAATCTCTTATTGCTCCTTGTCCTTATCTTTTTATTATTATTATTATTATACTTTAAGTTCTAGGGTACATGTGCACAACGTGGGCATGGTTTGGTTAACATATGTATACATGTGCCATGTTAGTGTGCTGCACCATTAACTGTCATTTACATTAGGTAATATCTCTAATGCTATCCCTGCCCCCTACCCCTCCCACAATAGGACCCGGTGTGTGATATTCCCCTTCCTG